GAGGTTGCTGTGAGCTAGGATGACGCCACGGCACTCTAGCCCGGGCAACACAGTAAGACTCTGTCTCAAAAAAAAAAAAAAAAAAAGAATTATGTGTCATTTAGGTCTGGACGGCCAGGGGGCCACTGAATGTTCCCAACACCACGGGGTGAAGGTCGAGTCGACGGCTGTGCTAACTGCTGATCCAATCACCGCACGTTCCACGTACGGAAACATCCCCACGTAGCCATGAGACGTACAACTGTTATGTGTATATTTAAAAAATAAAACAAGAAAGGATGAGTGACAAGTGATATTTGGAGGCCCTGCACATAGGAAGGTGTTTTCTTTCTATTCTAATGTGACTGCGTTGTTTTCTCGGATGTGGAATTCTAAGTTAAATCGTTTGTACTCGTCGCGTTTCATTTCCGTTATTGCCGAGAGGGCAAACGCCACTCTGATGCTACGATCTTTAAGTGACGTTCACGCCTTTCCTTTGTCCTGTGTCTCCACCAAAGGGGCTGTGGGCCGGCAGTCTCTCCTCTCTGGGCGGCTGCATCTCCTGCCGTGGGACCGAGCGCAGCTGCCACACTACGTGGGAGCTCTCACCCTCCCCCATCTAGTGCCCGTTTTCAGTGCCGCCTGGCGCCCCCGAACCTGCAGCCTCTTTGCTTTCATTTCTCCAGAAAACACAGACTCCGGGAGGAGCAGGGACCTGACATCACCTGCTGCCCAGACGCCGTCTCCTCTCTCTGCTCTGTGCTGGGGGCACCAGGGTTCTCCCCGGCTTCCTCCACGTTGCTCCGTCAGGGGCCACAGCTCCTGCCCCTCGACCCTATGGACACCTGCCACGCTTCCCCACTCTCCCGTCCTGGGGGGTTTTCTTCATCCGTTTACTGACATCTTAGTGCACTTTGGGCAGAAACAGAGCCGGACGTACATTTTCAAATTGCCAAGAATAACCGGTGGCCTGAGTTTTTTAAATGTTTAGCTGTGTCAGCACCGTCACCTACCTAGTTCACGCAAACACGCTTCCTATAATCCCTTCCAGCCCTGACCTCCCCGTGGGGCCCACAGACGCCACGTGACCGAGTGGGCTGCTGTGGGTTTCTCACAGACTTCGGAGAGCGGGTTTTGCACACAAACATTGTGAATATTTACTCTTGCAGGTTGAAATGCAGAGGTTAAACAGCAGTTTCTAAAATAACCGAGTAAAGCCACACAGAGAGACGAACACTTCCAGGGTGGCCAGCGGTAAGACGCTAAAAGGAACTGGAGCTCTGGGACGTATATTCCCTTCGCTGACTTTCCTCCGACCTCGTTCCAGGCGAGACTCGAGGTGGCTTAAAGGTGTGTTCCGGCAACAAAGCCGCCAGGCACACACCCGTCTCCGTTAGAATCCCGCCTGGCGCCACAGGCGGCCCTGGCAACCGAGGGTGGTTCTCGGCTGACGTGAGGGGAACTGACGCCTTCCCGGTAACACGGAGAACAAGACACGTGACCCCCGCTGACTATTCATACCGTTGAGGGGATAATTCATAATTACGCTTAGCTCGGGAACCGCGATGGAAAACCAATCTCAGGACAGCCGGGAAAGACCTGCCGTGTCATGGGAGGGGTGTCCGGGTCAGAGGAGCCGACACGGCTGCCCCACCCCCGCCCCCGTCCCGGGCTGCTCTCGTGTGGGATCTAAAGGTCACTGCCAACTGTCGCCTTTGAACCTTTTCTTTTTTTTTTTTTTTGAGACAGAGTCTCACTCTTTTGCCCGGGCTAGAGTGCCGTGGCATCAGCCTAGCTCACAGCAACCTCAAACTCCTGGGCTCAAGCGATCCTCCTGCCTCAGCCTCCCGAGTAGCTGGGACTACAGGCATGCACCACCATGCCCGGCTAATTTTTTTCTATATATTTTTAGTTGTCCAATTAATTTCTTTCTATTATTAGTAGAGACGGGGTCTCGCTCTTGCTCAGGCTGGTCTCGAACTCCTGAGCTCAAACAATCCACCCGCCTCGGCCTCCCAGAGAGCTGGGATTACAGGCGTGAGCCACCGCGCCCGGCCGCCTTTGTACCTTTTCATCTGCAGCCGGGCTCCCCAGGGCTCCCAGACACCGTCTTGAGCACACAGCATTCTGGACGCCTCACTGCCCGCTCCCAACACGCGGGAGTCCCGAGGCCCCGTGCTCCTGTGCCCACGGCAGCACACGGCACCCACATGTTCCTTCTCAATCAGCCTGTCACGTGAACAAAATCCACCTCCCGCCCTGGGGCCCTGAAGAGGTATTTCTGTGATCTCAATACAGAAGTCGGCATTTATACGACAGCAAACTTTTAAGAAAACACAGAAGCTGGACCATTTCAGGTTGACGCCCAGAAATGAAACCTGGAGCCGTGAGAAGTCGCAGCGGTCACCTGACCCGAGAGAGAAACAGGAGCCGGATGGGAAGGTGATGTTGGTCTCACCCCCAGGACGGGCTCGGGAACCACGTCTGAACCAGCGACCGATTTCTCACGGCTCACGCAGAGGCCGGACACCTCCGTTTAAACACAACAACCTCAGTGAGGCCTTTACGTTTCCTCTGGAATTGCAGCCGGATCGTAAACAAGACTCCAGAACGAAGGCAGGAGATCCGGGGTGCAGAGAGGGAAACGGAGGCCGGGGGGAGCCGGCTGGGCCCCCATTTTCACGAAGATCCTATACAGAAAGAATTCTCTCCCAAACGAGGCCAATCGAGGAAGAATTCTCAGCTCTAGAAACACCTGCTTTACTTCCAGCTTCCCAGACAACAGGTCACAGGGAACGAGCGGCCATGTCTCAGAACCAAGACCGGCAGGGAGAACCACAAGGCCACTGGACCCGAGACGCGATGCTGACGCTACGGCGTGGGAACGGGCTGCGTGCTCGGAGCTCGCGGGTCCACGTCACCAGGCAGCTTCTGCCTTCACATCTTACTCGGATGAACTCGGAAACGGACCCACAGCTGACACCCGACGGTCAGGCACCCCCAAGGCCTCCCCTGCCCCGCGAGGGCACGTGGTCCCGGCCAGCCCGCCGCAAGGGGGGACACAGCCGCAGCCAGAGGCCGGGCCTCCTCTTTTGAGATTCGGTGGCCAAGAGTAACAGTAAAGTCTGCCTCTTATTTGCTGGTGATTTTAAGACAGTGCATGTTATTTAGGGCATAACCCTGAACGCGAACCTGGAAATCCAACCTACAAACGCTTATTTTTCATTCTATCGAAAGGTGCCTCGGATTCATCTCCCGCCTCGTGAACTTATGTTCAAAGTACTGCCCGCCAGGGTGACCTCAGCCTTGGGACAGGGTCGTCTCCTCCAAGAGGTCCTCTATGATTTTTCTATTTCAAGAACCCCTAACTTTGCTCTTGGGAGGTAAGAACAAGATAGAGCCGAAGACCTCAGAGTCACTCCCTTTGGCAGAGGTCAGAGGTCAGAGGCCAAAGTCTAACAGGTCACCCTCTCCCTAGGTCTTCGGCTACGAGACAGGAGTCCGTAGACGACCAGCAACTTTAAGAAGAATTCCGTAACTTGTCACGCATTCTTCTTTCTCCGGTGTTTTCTAAGTGGTGCCCCGACTGAGAAGATCGAACTGATAAAACGGGACATTCTATTTTAACAGGAAACACCCAGAACCGGGCCCCGACTCCCCAGGACCGTGATTGGCAAGCACCGTGGCGCGCTCTGGGGACGGTCCCCGAAGGTCCCCAACGCCACGCCCTACGCTGCCGTGCAGAGTGGCACGGGGGGGGACGTTTTTGTGCCCTGCCTCAGGGTTTCTCTCGCTCTCGTGGAAGCAGCGCTCACCGAAACGAAAGTAAAACAGAGGCCGGTTCCCCGTGGCGCTGGCCGCCCGCTCCCGGGCCGCGGCTTCTCGGACGTCGCACACCCCGATGTGGGCAGAGCGGAACGTTCTCCTCGTGGCTCCTTCACTGTGCTGCAGTCTACACCGAACCACGGCAGCTCCGTTCGCTGCTGTAACAAGTTGAAAAAAAACTAATTAATTCAGACTTTAGTCTTTTTTAAATTTGTTACAGCGCTGAGCAGAGCTGCCGCCCCCATGCAGAACAGCACACGGACCACCACGGGGACCCACCGCGCCCCGGCACAGCTGCGGCTGGAGAACTGTCCTCCGGGGAGGCGAGGCGTCGCCTCTGTTTCACTTTTGTTTGGCACGGCACAGAAGCTGAAATCCTACGGCATCTACCGCCTACCGCCACCCCCGGCCCCCTCCAGGACGCGGGGGCCCCTGCAGGAGGGAATTCCGCAGTGGCAGGGCCGGGACGGCCAGCACCAGGGCTCTGCTGGAAGACAGGGGACGAGGGGGACAGGCCACCGTGTTCTCTGCCACAGCCACCCCACAGCCCCTGCACACGGGGGCCCGGCCGACCACACGCTTCCCCCGGGCGGAAGCGCAGGACGACGCAGCCCTCCCGCTAAGTGTGACCTGCACAGACAGGCCCAGCTGTATGTCAACCGTCTTCAAAACCAGGGAAAGAAAAACACACAAAACAAAACTACAAACAGCAGAAACTCCAGACACAGAGTTTCCTGGAACAGGAGCCCCCCAAAACTCTCCTTCCGGCTAACAGGACCCCAGGAGGCGTCAGCCCTGGGGAGAGAACGGGTTGGGGTCTGTGCAGGTGGACAGTGTGTGCACCTAAACCTTTAAAATTCTTATTTCAACAGTAAAAACTACAGAGCTTAGCCTTCACCTTTAAAATTGACGTCACTATCCTTTTTGTTCGAGGCAAAAAACGCTTGCGTTAGCTTTAAGCCATTCTCAAGGCCCAGCGAATTCTCGAGGTCACCCTCGAGCTGCGGAGCTTACGTCGGAAGGCAGGTGTCAGGACTCCAACGTGAGGTCGTTCTCCGAACCTCCGAGTACAGACTTTACGACTTTACAGACCTGCACATGTTAAATGCTACGAGGAAACAGACTTTGTACTTTCGAAGAATCAGCAAGACCCGTTTCACGACCACGTCTCAAAACTGAACGACCTTCACAATTCAGAACCCAGGCAGGGCATCAGAGCACTGTCTAGATTTCTAATCCTATGACATCAGCAAAATTAGCAATAAGTGACTCACTAAACCAGAAATCATGTTTAAATCACAAAGGCCCCCGTAATTTTACGATCGTGACATTTTAAAGTAATCAATATATTATTGATCTACCTATAGATGGAATACCTGTTGTATCGGGCACTTTTATAGAACAATCATGTTCTTCCTACAGTCACAAACATCACATGAATCGTACAAAGACAGGGATTCGCTGTGATGCGTGTGCAGGGCGCACGCGTGACCGCCACACAGGTTTGGGACTAAGGAAGGATGTGCTCTCGGTTCTCTCTCCTGCAGGTTGCAGTTAAGGCTCAAAACTCGACATCTACTTATCGGGGTACGTACTCGGAGGCTGGGGGAGGTAGGCTCCAATCAACTTCGACCTCTTCTTTTCGTATCCCTTTTGTGTGATGTCACCTGCAAGAGAAGGAAAACACGTCAGGACGGTTTCAGCAGGTGGAGGCATCGTGCGACGGCGTCTAAGAAACAGGCACGAACGTCTGCAGCTTTTGCTCGACTCGCGGTTAGAATTCAGACGGAAAGCACTGCGCGTCGTCAGCCCGCTCCTCCCGCCCTCCGACAAAACCCACGGCGTTTGAGTTACACGAAACTCCTCTGCGAAATATGTGTCTGTTCCCAGCCCCTCCTCGCTCGGTTCTAACGGGGTCCACAGTCAGGTCCCCGAAATCCCGCCCACGTGTGCCGCACTGGAGTCCCCCAACTCTGGGGCTTGTTAACGTAACCACAGATCGTGCCACGGTCAGGGCCGGGACACCGGCCGCATCGCCCCTTGACCAGATTTTTCCCATCACGAGGAATTTAAACTGGGTGGTATTTTTGGAAAACAAGTGACCGGGACCAAGGGAACATCAGATAAAACAGAAGAACACGGGACCTACACGAACCCGGCACACGTGAGAAAGGTGCTTATCGCTCAAACAGGGATCCCAAGGTAAAACCGGGAGGTCACGGTGTGTTCACGCTCCCCACGTGCCAAGCCACTGGGCGTGGGGGACGCGGTGACCTCGTGAACACCCAACAGCCTGTTCCAAGTTTAAGCTCTGACACACACACAGCACCGATTCTGCCCTAGAATCTTCCTGGAATCTGTTAAGTCTTTGCCTAAAATTCTGATCAAACCATCATTCCTAGAAGAGCTAAAAAGTCAAGATTCAATAAAAACACGGCAAACAAACACAAGTTGGTGAATTTGCTTTTTGTCTAGCGCACGCTCGCTTGCTGTGGCATGTGTGGATGCGTGCCTCCCCCACGACCCGGGGCTGGGGTTTAAACACGGAGCCACGGGCAACAGAAAGATACCACGTGAGCCCCCGCCTGGTGCTGAGCGTGCGTCGAGCAGCCACCATCAACAGGCCCCGCGCAGACGTGGCGCCCTGTTTGCTCCGCACTATCCTGAGATAAAGTCCCAGCCTGGCACGCCCTGCCTCATTTCACACTTTGCTCAACACCCGAAATTCAGCTCACGTTTTATCAATTTCTCGATTGAGCACTCAGCACGGTGGGGGGTTCCATCTCCCGCTGCGCCGTCCCGGGACCTGCCCTGCCCACGAAGCCCCCAGGCCCGGGGCTCCCACGGCACAGACCTCGCGGCCGTGCGGCTCATGATGCCGGGACGGCTGTTCGTGGCTCAGTTCTGTGGCGCTAGGCCACACGCGGCTTAGCCTTGAAGCCACACTGGGAAGCCTTCGTGAGAGGGACCAGGTCGTGCAGAACCGAGTCCCAGCCCAGCCCTGTCACGGCTGGGGACCACGCCCACGAACTCACACGAGCTAGCGAGGAGCACAAACGCCTCTCCCGGCACTCGGCCGCCAGACAGAGCGACTCTGGCAGGGCACAGGCAGGTGACCGATCCCTGTTCAGACACCTGGCGGGGCAGGGAGGGGGACCCCACAGCGAGCCTGTCATCTGAGCCTGCGCAGACGGCTCAGCCTGTGTGTCACCCGCGAGGATCCACGTCCGTGGCCCCGAGACTGGGTTCACTCAGGCCCCACGGCACCGGAGCCAAAAATACCCTTGCTACTGTTCCTTTTTAGCGGAGAAAGTCCAGTTATTTTTAACTCTAGAACGACTTCAGCATCTGGCAGACAGAAGCCCGACAGACTCTCCCTGCAAATTTACACGAGCAAACTTTCTAGCTTGGACGTTGCCTTTTATTTTGAAGCAACCACCGATTTCTTTTGTGCTAATGCAATAAAGACAGAAATGAAAGACACAGGAGACGGGCAGGTGGGTGGATGGGCAGCGGGACAGAAGTCAGCTACAAACGTCTCCCTCCAGGACGCCCAGACCGCGACAGGGCCCTGCCGTCCCCATGGCAACGTGCAGGCTCTGAAGCACAACTGGCCACCCTGTCCTCTCCTGGGTCCTCTCCTGGGTCTGTGGCAAGCACCATCTTCAGCGTGAAATGAGGTGGCTGCAGGCACCAGGGCTACGGGGCAGGACGGGACCTCACGTCACGGTCCTGGGCGAGGTTCGTCTCACCCTGTTACCCCACCAGGCAGGGCAGGTGGTCACGTTCTCCCGGCTGGAAACGGAGGCCTCCGAGGGTATCGTCAGCTCCAAGCAACGCAAGAGCTTCTCAGAAGCTGCGTCCGAGGAATTCCGCTCCTTAAATAGTAGCTGCGGATGTTAACAGACACGAACCCACCCCGGGATCCCCCGAGTGTTTTCCATACAACATTCCAAGTAGCATAGTTTCCAAGCTCTGACACTCGACATACCTATTTGTTTAGCTCCCTTTTCACGTCAGGAATAAGAAAGCATGATGCAAAAGTAGGTGTAGAAATTGTGACCTAAGTGAGGAGAAAGTAAAAGTAATCTTTCGAGACCCTTCCTACTTCGTGAAAAATGCTACTGGCATCATCACCCTCAAAGAATTTCCGTAAGACTGAAAATTTCAGCAGAAATTAACACTGTCACTTGTTCTGTTACAAAGAAAAGAGATTTACAGACGAGTCATAAATTTAAAGTGACAATGCTTCGCTACCAAAACCACTACCCCGAGGCCAACGCTGAGACAGAGAACTCTTTCCCTCAACAGATGGAAGAATCCTTTTTTCTAATCACATCGCAGTCCGAGTTTCAGGGCAAAACCTGATTCTCAGGAAAGGGTCCCCAGCGAACACAGAGAGAAGGGGACAGAGCTCCCGCCGTCCCCTCCCGGCCACCCTGGACCCAGCTGGAATTGATGCAGAGCCAGCCGGCTCCCGACATGGGGACCTGGGAGCCACGTGGTCCTCGGGGATCAGACGTGTGCCTGCTTCCAAGGCAGGGATCGGCTCTGAGTAAACAGACCCGTCTAACAGTGATGGTTTCCACGCTGCGCCAAGAGCCTGCTGTTTCACGCCAGGACGGATGCTTTATGTAACAAAGCGACCGCTTCCATGTTTGGAATCGCGAGGCTGTCAGGAACCTTCGTAACTCTGCTCCCTTGAGCTGACTGCTTTATAAGTGCAGGGAGCTGGCCTCGCTCCTGCGGACGCCAGAGCCTTGTTTCTATCCTCGGGATAAGCTCCGCTCTTGTCCAGAGTGAGCCGTGGGCCTGTGCAGGTCTCGTGTGCACGTCCACGGTGGGGGGTGGCCGCGCTGACAGGTGTCCCTTCCCCCCGGAAGCCGAGCAGAGCCGGAGCTCTGGACGGGGAAGCCACCCAGCCTGGGGCTCGTTCTCCTCATTGATGACGTGCAGGTGATGACACCTACGTACCTTCCACCGAGGCTGAAGAGATCAAGCACAGAGTGGGAAATGGTTCAAAGCACTAAGCGTGCCAGAAAATGTTTACAAATTTTCAACAAGCGCTTCTTCAATACCCGTTACATGCTCCGGCTTGCGAGAACTTCGAGGGGACGGGAAGACTTGTGCAAACAGACCTGCCCAGTAACTCGGGGGACTAAGGGGCAGGACGTCTGCGCGGCCAGCAGGCGCTGCGGGATCGGAGCACTAACACCACGGTTCTGCAGAAATGCAAACCCCGGCCCTCGAGACCCCGGCTGCTCCCACCTCCTCTGGGTCCCCGAGAGCGGCTCACAGCTCCGGCCCCCTGCGCACCCTCGGCCAGGACGATCACCCACAAAAACACAAACGTGGTCCTGTGACCGCTCCACCCACGACACGCCAAGCGCTTCCCACTGCTTTTAGGGCTGAGAACGAGCTCCTAGCAGGGCCTCCAAGCCCTCCCGCCGCCTCCCGGGCCGCCGTCTGTGCTGTTCACGGCTCCCAGCTCTGCCTTGGCTCCCGCCTGCGCGGCGGTACTTAGTGAGCACAGTTTAACTGTTCACTCCCGCCGTATTTCTAAAGTAAAATTTAGAAATTTAAAATAAAGATATTTTAAATACAGTATTCAGGATAAACATAAAATCTGCAGTAGGATTATAAATTCACCACAGCTTTTAGTTTACTAAGAAAACTTTGCTATTTATTTAGTTTATTTAGCTTAATAAAAACATTTAGCTAATGGTGTGAAAGGAAAGCCAAACTACGTTTAATTCAACACGAAGCACATAGTGTTCACTCGGGAGTACATACTACACGCCCACCGCATGCACACGGCCCGTCATGGGTACCAGGCAGTAACAGAACACGAAACGCAGAAACCCCGCACCCTCCCGGCACTTACGTTCATGCTCCCACACGCCCATGGTCTACACCATCGACAAAGCTCACACCTGTCTCCTGACGAGCGCAGGAATCGTTATTTACTCAGCAAGGCACAGGAGGTGAATTTATTATGAGACAGAGGCTGCAAATAAACCCGCATGGATTTTAATCTTGATCAGTCACTGAAGGAGATTTGGATGAACTACATAAAACCACCATGTGCTCCCAAAGGAAAATAAAAAATATTTTCAGCGAACCCAATCAAAATTCAAAATTTGCGAAATGCAGCCAAAATCGTGTTTGGGAGTAAGCTTATTGCATGAAAGGTTCTTATCCGATAAAAAGAAAGTCTCACATCTATAATGTAAGCTTCTATGTTAATAAAAATGGTTAAAATAAACCCAAAGTAAAAGAGAGAAGAGAAATCAAAGGAATTGGAAACAGTAAAAAAGAAAAAAAAAAGTCAGTCATGCCCAAAGACTACATAAAAAACCACAAGGAATCTACAAAATTAACTCCTCGATCTAATAACTGAGTTTACCGGACATCATGTGAGTTCACGGAGGTGTAGACACACCCCATCGCTCTGCGTGTCCAGGACCAAGTGCTCCTGCCGGCCGCGGCTGCACCCCACCCCCACAGCACCCTCCCAGGAACCCGCCGCGCTGGCCAGACGCCGCCAGGAGCTCCGAGGACTCAGCTGCACAGACCTCTCGCTTCGCACCCGGGAAACGAGCCTCCCGCTAGAGTCCAGCCTCCACCCCCCCGCCCCGGCCACGCAGGATCAGAAACACACAGCT